AAAAAAAATTCAGTGTTGCTGGGAAAAATATATTACATGGTTGGCAGAACCGGAAGGTGATGAGATTTTTTTTTTAGACAACACACTAGCAAAAGACAATAAAAATTATAAACTGATCATAACCTTTGACCCAATGATCCCACAACTGGAACTATATCTTAAGTATTTTATTACTCAAATCTCAAATGGATTTATGATCTCACTGATTCAAAAATTCTCACCAATAATGCACAGATAGAAACCCATCCCTGTTTTTCCATCCCTCTTTTCCAACTCTCATTCATATCTTCTCAAAAATTCACCACCAAATGCTATTAAAAGGGGGGGAGGGACAAAATTTGCAAAAATATTCACAGTTGCTTTATTTTTAATAGTTAAAATCTTGGAAACAACCAAACTATGCATGTCTACAAACTTGCAAATGGGCAGAACACACTCTGGTATAACAATGTAACTATCACTACCTTCAAAACACGTCACATACGAGGAACACCAGGGAATATGTAAAAATGCATATAAATTTTTTTATAAATATATAAAGCAATGAAAGTAAGAAGCCAAATATAAAAATGAATACTATACAATTAACTTTAAATGTATATATAGAGAGACAGAGAGAGAAATATTATACAAATCTTCAGAAGGACTAAGATAAGAGATCAAGAAAAAGATTAGCAGCAACAGAACATAATGGATAAGAGTGCCAGACTTGGAGTTAGGGTTTAAACTTAACTTCTAACACTTACTAAGCTATGCAACCCATGGACAAACCAATTATCTTCTCAATCTCAATTTCCTCATCTGTAAAATGGAATACCACCTGTAGTACCCTACTTCACAGGATTACTGTTAAGTCTCAAATGAGATAACTTATGTACAGCCCTTTATAAATCTTAAAATACTACCTAAATATCAGTTATTGCTAACATTTATGTTTTCTTTTTTATGTGAATAATTCAGATCATATAATTTTATGGCGAATACTACACAGAGATACTGTACTAAATCAGCAGCAGATGCAAAGATGCTTCAAGAAGTTTAAAGTGTTCCACAATTAGGAGGTTCTTCAGTTGTTCAAGCCTTCTGACATTTCCTCAGGGTAGGATATTTCCTTCACAGTAGAGAACACTGACATTTTGGCTACGTACATGAAACCCAATGGAAGTTGTAATTAAATAAATGGAAGGCAGCTCACAAATTCTACTTGGAAAAGCATATAAATGAAATGGTTTCATTATATATTCAAAGGCAACAGATACATCATTTCCTAGGACACCTGGTCTTGCTCATACTGACCATTTGCAAAAGAGCCACCATCAAGGTAACTAACTGCATTTTATGTGCCTACATTCACTGTAGAGAATGGGGAGATGAGGAAATCTTACAAAGTACTCAATGTCTTCCACATTAAGTCAACATCTGCCCTTATACTTGGTAACTTCAATGCAAAAGTACGCATAAAGGAATGAAGAATACATTGGGAAATCAGGTTCAGTAATAAGAATGCCAGACTACACATAACCCTCCCAACTTATATGTATCACATATACTCTCTCCAAGAAGACTCAGAAAGCTCATAGGACCTGGTTGGCACTAAATAACATCATTCCCACCCCCGTACCCTCTCCTCCCTCCAAATTAAAGCAACTAAACATTAAGACAGGACTGACCTAGTTATCAACGTGAGATTCATTTTATTTATTTACTTACTTTCAATTTTTTTTTTGGCTAGTTTTAAGTGACTTGCCCAGGGTCACACAGCTAGTAAATGTCAAGTGTCTGAGGCTGGATTTGAACTCAGGTCCTCATGACTCCAGGGCTGGTGCTCTATCCGCTGTGCCACTTGGCTGCTCCCTGGGATTCATTTTAAAAGAGCATAAGGGTCCAAATTTGGAGCTGGAAGGTACCTCAGAGGTCATCCAGTCCAAATCCTCATTTTAAGGATGAGAAAACTGAGGCCATTAGACGTTAAGTGACATGCTCAAGATCACACAGATAGTGACACTGGTTTCCTAGTAGTTCCAAGAAGAAGATACACCTTTGTAGCAGCTCTAGTCATTATATCACCAGCTGCTTCTAATAACAAGGTTGGAACCAGGTGGATCTTTAGTTTGTTTCAATGTGACATTTTCTAAGTTAAACATTGCCACTTGTCCCCTAAGTGCTAGCTGGCACCTTCTCCCAAAATTATCTTTTATCTGTTCTGTATATATTTTGTATATGTATATATACAATGTTAGGCACTGAAAGGAAAAGAATAGCAGGAGAGAAAAATAAAGTCTTAGACCCTGCAGTTTCCAGTCTAACCTTAGGAGAGATAACATGCATATAAACGGTGTCCCCAAATCTGAGGCAATTAGAGTTTAGCAATTTGCCCTGGGTCACATAGCTAGTCTTTGAGTCCAGATATGAACTTAGGAAGATGAGTCTTCCTGATTGCAGGCCAGCCCCTCTATTCACTGGGCCACCTAGGTGCCTACAATATTAAGTGCTTACTGTATGTCAAGCACTGTATTAAGATCATACTCTAATGAGGGAGACAAGCAAACAAAAATGTACAAATAAGCTATATACAGGATAAATATGAAATAATTAAAAGCAAGAAGGGCACTATAGTTAAATGGGGCTGGAAATAGGTGATTTTAGCTGGGGCTTAAAGGAATCCAGTGGGGGACAGGAAGTCACTTTAACCATGTGCCTCAGCTACCTCATGCATAGAATGAGCTGGATGAGAAAAAGGCAAACTACTCCAGTATCTTTGTCAAGAAAACCACAAATGGGTTCAGGAAGAGTTGGACACCAATTAACAACAAATATTTCCTAATTGACTGACTAGTAATTAGCAGATAGGATCCAACCTTAGGTCTCCTAATTCCAAATCCAGGTCTTCTTTCTTTACACTACCAGCCTCTTCCTAAGTAGAACTGGATTATTAATGGCATTAGGATTCAAAAACACGGTACTGATTAGTCATGCTGGTTTTCTCCTCTTCTTGTTATTTCTTTAAAAATACTATTTGTGTGTTTTGCACGACTTCACATGTATAATCTATATCAAATTATTGCCTGGGGGGAGAGAGAATTTGGAACTCAAAATTTAAAAAAAAAAGATTGTTAAAAAATTTTACATGTAATTGGGAAATATTTAATGAAATTAACTATATTATAAATAAATATACCATTTGTCATATAGGATAGCTTTCAGGGAGAAGGAAAGGATACTGGGGAAAGTTTTGGTGATGTAAAAGAACCAAACACATTAATAAAAACTTATTTTTTTTAAAAAAGGGGAGGAGACAGACCTACAACATAGTATATACTCTCAGTTGAGATCCACAAGCATTCCAAAGAGTTCAGTCTAATAAACAAGACAGGAAAAAACCAAGTGAACGAGAACTACTGTCCGGACAGTAAAAAGGGCATAAATAAAAGGACTGCAAAATCACTGGTTCAAACCAGTCATTTCATTAATATCCAAGAGAGATGCACTTCAGCGACTGCCTGCCCCACTAAAAAGTTAAATGATTTACCCAATCACACAGCTAGTTGTGTGTCAGAGGCAGAGTTTTAACTCTGGTCTTTCTAACCCCAAGCCCGGCCTTCAAGCCATCATACTATGATGCCTCTTTTCAACAACATGTAAGACACAGAGCGAGCAAGAAATAGCATGAAGATGTCAAAGAAATGCATGAATGACCAAGCAAATAGGCTGGTCCAAGAGAGACGGAACCCGAGTCCCGCAGTAGAACCTCGATAAAAGCTAAGATTTTCAGGAGAGTGAATGGACAGCGATCGTTACCCGTGGAGGGAATGCCCACATAGGGGGATCCACAGAAGCTTCCAATTTCCCACCGCCCTCTCAAGGGCCAGGCAGGGGATGAGGGCGGGACTTGTCTGCCAATGGCTGGGGGCAGGAGGATGGCTGGGTTCCATTCCTTTCTCAGTCCGCCTCCCCTACCCCTCTGGGGCCTGCCCTCTCTCTCTCTGTTTCCTCACCTAGGCAGATGCCGGAGGGGCACCAGCGGCCCAAGCAGCTCTCGAGATTCGTTCGCAGCGCCATAAGTCCGATGGATCAGCAGTCTTGGGTCTACTTTCAAAACCTGCTCCGCGCGCGCTCCGTCCCTTTCACGTCGACCAATCACTGCGCAAAGGCCTTTTCCCGCCAGCCAACCACAACCCCCCGAGCCCCTTCTCCATTGGCCAATCCGCAACAGCCCTTGACGGCAGTGCATAGAATGGCGGCAGCCGGAAGGCGACTCAGTAAGGAAGTAATTGTCTAAGGTCAACAGATGATGTCTTTTCTATTTTTTTTTTTTAGCGGGGAAACGATACATTTAGTGACAAACCAAAATTTTCGCCCCCTTCACTTGAGGGTGAAAAAAGTTTCCAGGATATCCGAAGTAAAGACAAATGGGAACTGATCATCACCTTTGTCCCTTTGGCCTACGCATGCGCCAAGGGCCTCCTAGTCAGAGGGTATGGAGGTGTTGGCGGGATGTGCACCCTCTTCGGGGGAAGGGAATTAAAATGGAAGATGAAATTCAGCACCCCCCCGCCCAAAGAAGCTACCGTTCCGCTGGGCTGGCAATCCTAATGGAACTCGAATAAGGCCCTCGAAGTTCCCCAAGAACGGAGCCCCGACCTCATTCCGCTACGTTTGCGCAGTGAGCTCAGGGAGGGGAGGAGAAGGGCGGAGGGAGGGGCGGCGCGCATGCGCCTGGAGTCACGCGCATATCGGGGCTAGAGACTGGTTCTCCTCGCCCAGGACCCCCGCCCCCCTCTGCCGCGTCGCCAGCGAAGCCAAGCCGTGCGTGCCCGGGGCGGAGGCTGGGGGGCCGGCTCCTTGGGGGGCTTTGCAGGGAGTGCACCCAGCGCGCTGGGCCTCCTTGGCTCCGTGCTGCTCCGGGGGCCGCGGCGGGGACGTTCGCCTGTGCTCGGGGCGTTGCATTCCCGCGTCCGCCTCGCCTCGCCCGGGCAGCCCCGCAGCGGGTGCGCCGTCGCCAGCCCCTGCCCGGGCCAGGCCAGGCCGGCCGGCCAGCGGGGAAATGAGCTTCTTTGGCTTCGGGCAGAGCGCTGAGGTGGAGATCTTGCTGAGCGATGCCGAGAGCAGGAAGCGAGCGGAGCACAAGACGGAGGATGGCAAGAAGGAGAAATATTTCCTCTTCTACGATGGGGAGACCGTGTCCGGGAAGGTGAGCCTCGCGCTCAAGAACCCCAACAAGCGTCTGGAGCACCAGGGCATCAAGATCGAGTTCATCGGGCAGATCGGTGAGTGTGCCCGGTCGTGGCCGCCACCGCCTGCGGGGGCCGGGAGCGGCGAAATTCACCCGCTGATACCGAAGCGCTGCCCCACCCCCGGCCCCCGGGCCTGGGGGTGGGGGGCTGCCCTGGGGGACGCCTTGAAATGGACGGGAGGGGTGGAGGGGCCCTGCCCCAGCCAGACGCTCACAGTCCCCCACGGTCGTTATCCGTGCCCGAAATGACACCGCACTGTGAGGGGGAGGATGGTGGGTTGGGATGGTTTGGGGGTGGAGGAAAGTGGGGAGGGGTTGACTCCAATAACAACGATAACAGCACCTGATATTTGTAGTGAGGGGGAAGGAATTTTCACATGCATTATCTCATTTAATCCTAGCCGCCACCCCGTGAAGAGCAGAGCAGGTGGTCCCCCATTTTACAGATGAGGAAACTGAGGCCCAGCTAAGTTAAGTGAATTGTCCAAGGTTACCGTAGCTAATACATGCAGAGCTGGGAATCCAGACGTAGATCTTCAGACCTCCAGAGCTCAAAAGTTCTTTCTGTCTTAACCAGGCCTCTTGTATGGCCATGGGGGCGGCTGGTGATGGATGGTTGGAGGGAGGTGGGGAGAAAGCACGAGAAAAGGTGTCGGGGGTGGGGGGGAGGTTTAGTGGGTTTGTATACCTTATACCTTGAAAATCTCTGGTCCTATTTCCAGGCTGTAACCAAGCTCTTTTCCTGGTCTTGATTTAACATACTCTGACCTTGTCAGTGGCTTTGGGCTCTTGATTCCTAATGTAATCTCTTTTCTGTCTCTGGTCTTTCCTTGTATTGTGCATCTATACTATTGAGCCCAGTGGAAAAGCAGCACCACTGTCTGGCCCTCAGTGAGTGGCACAGGGCCTTTATCATCTGTCAGACTGGGAAAAAAGCTGCTTATTAATTTCCCCTCCTAATTAACATTAGTTTTGAGCTGCTTGTTTATAGAAAAGATTTTTCAGTAGGTAGAAGGGTGTGTCTTTTTTTCCCTTTTTTCAAGCTTCAGATTGACTTGTATGCATTTTTAGAAGAAATTATAATATTTGTGTAAAAGGACTCATTTAATGACAGTAAAATGGTGTTTTTAAAGCCACAGTTATATATTACAATTTCACAGCAGTCTGTCAACTCTCATCAAATAATAACAGTCACAATAACCATAGCAATATTGAAGTAGCTTTGGAACATGCCAGTCAAGGCTGAATTGTCTCAGATTCTGAATCTCACTATTCCGTTTGCTTACCCCACCCTTAAGTGTTCCTGAAATAAACTATTTATTATTAGGTCAAGGACTGGATTCATAGGAATTACCATGTGGTCTGGAGAAGACCTTTGGAGAATCCATGACATACATACTTTTTACCTAGGCTTAGTTCAAAGTATAATGGATGAATATCCTTATCTTCATATGAGGTCAGCAAGGTTTTATCACCATTTTTGCAGATGAAGAGAATACTGAAGCACAAGTGGAAAGGTCTCTACTGTGTTCCTGTCGGCAGCGGAGGCAAAACAGGAAGCCAGATAGCTAACCTTCCTAGTCTAGTGTTCAGTCTAAAGGATCTTGCCTCTCTGTGGAAAAAGAAAGTTAAACCGTACTGGGACCAGACTGACCCTATAGGAGTGTTTTTGGATGTTGCTATTTTAAATCATTTATGGAAATTCATCGTGCCTTGAGAAGAGCCTGAAGAATGAGGTCCATATCTTTGGACTTAGGAAAAACACTCTAGGAAATAAATTAATGTAGGCATTTAACTAGTTGACTTTTTTAAGATACTTTTTAAGATTTCACTGGTATTTTAAAATACAGCATATGTGTTGCACTAAAATTTTTGGGATACCCAGTATATATACACATATGAAAAAAACAAGGTTCCCCCTCTAACTGAAATTGATGTTTTAATAGAATGCATGAATACCTGGGGGTATCTTTCAGAGTTTAATGACAAATTATGGATGCATTTTTGCTGTATTTTCACCATCACGCTGGGGACCCACTTGAGTCAGCACCATATGATAAAGAGAAGGTTCCCAACTTCAGAAACTCTGGCAACCCCTTTTCTAGAAGCTTATCTTGTGAAAAGGGCCTGAGATTCTGTGATTCTGCCTGATTTACAAGGAAAGGGTAGAAGAAGAGGCTATATATTGTACTTTCATGGTCTGGGATCTCAGTTTCGATTTGAAAGACATCATTGTGGCTATATTACAGAATTTCAGGAGTTGGAAGCAGTCTTCCAAGGTTCCTGATCCATATCTAAATGGGAATCCCTATCTATAGTGCTCAATATAGTTAATCAACCTTCACTTAAAGCTTAAAGGAAACTTACTACCTCCCGAAGTAGCCCATTCTAATTCTGGGTAGCTATATATTTTTTTTAACTCAACAATTATAACTACCAATTACATATTGTAATAGCTAACATTTATATAGAGCTTTAAGATGTGCTAAACAATTTATGTATTTGATTTGATTCCCCACAACAACCTAATGTGGTAGGTGCTATTTTTATCCTGATTTTACAGATGATATGTAACCTATCAGGTTAGATGTTGTAGGAGGCATGCAAAGATGAAAGCACAGTCTTCACAATCTGTCTCCAGCCTACCTTTCCACCCTTGTTCCCCTTTATGCAATGCATATTCTAGCCAAACTGAATTAGTCACCATTCCTTAACCATGTATACAGCATTGTTAGGAAGTTTTTGTACCATCAAGCTGAAATCTGCTTCTCTGCAGCCTCCATTTATTTCTAATTTGCCCCCATGGGGCCAAGCTGAGCATTTTAATCCCACTTCATTGTGACAGCCCTTTGGATACTTGAGGTTAATTTTCAGGTCCCCACTAAGTGTCTTCCCAGTCTCCTGGAGAATTCTCAGTTATTTCCACTGATCTTGATTGCCCTTTTCTGAATACTCCAGCTCACTCCCCAAAATGCAGCACCCAGAATTTAACAAAATGGCCCAGACACAATCTGACCCTGGTAGTAACCTCCCACATTCTGGACACTGCCTCACTTAATGCCACTTATGATTGCATTAGCTTTTTTCGCCTGCCAGAGAACACTGATGATTCACTGAGCTTTCTGTCTACTAAAACCTCCAGCTCTTTTTAAACCAGCATGGATCCCTTTTCTTATTCCTGTGCAGTTAATTTTTTTTAATCAAGTGTACAGCTTTGCATTTATATCAGTTGGGTCTAGCCCATTGTCCTTGCCTTTCAAGATTTCTGCCTTTCATTGTTAGTTGTCACTCCCTGCTTTGTGTCATTTGAACAATTGATAAGCATTTCATCTCTGCTTTCATATATAAGGCAGGATTTTTGAAATGCGTCAAGTGTAGATCCTAGAACAATGCTTAGAAGCAAGCACTCCTGTAAGACCTCCCTCCCAAGTCTTCATTCATCCATTAATGACTATTTAGGCCTAACTGTTTAACTAGTTTTAGTTCCACCTAACTATACTATAACTAGCCCATGCATTCTCTCTTGATCACAAAAATATTTTTAGACATTAGCAAATGCTTTGACAAAAATCTAGGTATGCTGTGTCTTATAACGTTCTCCTGACCTGACAGTCTTAAGTAAACCTGTTAAAGGAATGAGGTCAATCTTACATTGCCTGTCCTTAATGAGTCTTAATGATCACTCATACCATTTCTAAATATCCACAAACTGTCTTTAATAATGCATTCTAAATTTTTGTTAAATTTTGCATTCTAAAATTCTGTCTCAGAAACTTCCACTGTCTACACTGATAATTTTTCTTGTTAAACACTTCTCGGTTGTCTGAGCGTTCTGGGCTGAGTTAACTGAGGCCTTGTATGAAGCAGAGTGTGCTAGCCCTTAGTTTTGTCTACTGTAAAACAAGGATAGTAGTCCCCAGTTAAAATTACTTGTGATAAGAAAAGGGAGGAGTCATGGAAGCAATGCAGACTAATGTATGGTCTAAAATCATTTTTGTGATTTGGTTTTGAATTGTATTGTACGACAATTCAGTAAACATTTGTTAAGTGCTTGGTGGAATGGAATGGATAAATTTTCATTAAGTTAAATTATTAAGCACATTACCATGTGCCACGCATTGGGAATACAAATATTAAAAACTAAACAGACCCTGCTCTCAGTTAGTTCACATTCTAATTAGAAGAGACACATAGTCAGACATTCTCTTCAGCTCCTTCTCTCTGCCAGAAGCTGTGGTTAGCACTGTGATACAAACGTGAAACATACAATCCCTACCCTCAAGAAACTTATAATCTAATGGGGAAGGACAATATACCCAAGAAAGCTGAACAGCTTGGGGTGGGGAGGGGAGAGTGGCTGGTGGAGAAGCCAGAGAGGTACAAAATAAGTGCAACTGGGTGGGAAAAGAGAAGATGTCATTCCTAACATCTAGATGGAGAAGGTCATGGCTCTGCCCTCCAGTCAGAGGGGCAGAGGTTACTGATGAGGCGTGAATAACAAGGTTGACTGGATCTTACAAAATGGTGAGATTTCCCAATGATAAATTTACTGGGGGCATGTTGAGGAAATCAATGAAATCCAAAATGAATAATACGTAGACAGATATAAGAGGGTTCAGCTACTGGGCTGATAAAAAGACCAAGTGGTCTGTGGGATGTAACAGCTTATGTGGCAACAACCAGGGCTCCAGAAGACAAATCAGTGCCTAGTAGTCCCTGGGAGGCAATGGCAAGGCAGATGGTACCCAACAAATGACTGTTAGAACAGAGGTATTGATTTAGTGTTTGCAGGAGAGCACTGTGCAAGGAGATAGATATAAAATATCTATAGGTAGATTATGGTTCCTTCCATTATATGGCTAATAATTTAGTAAGGAGTTATGACAGATTAATGGAAAGTAGCATAAAAATGCGGAAAGTGGTGAAGGGCTTTGAAAAATCAAGTTGAAAAAGATCACTTACCAATTAAGAGGATTCAGGAAGGGTTTTTGCAGTAGATGGCTCATGAATTGGTTTTAAATGATGAGCAATAAG